GGGACCTTACTTTCTGAGTGCCTTTCAGCATTTGTTTCACCGTTTCGGCGTTTGCGCTCATCACTCGATGGACCAATATCAGTCCAAACCAATACCAGCGAGCAAATGGCGCCAACTTCGGCCTCAATTCACATGTTAAACGAAAGTACATATCAGCCGCGGATCACAGGGGTGATGAGGGGAATTTTCCAAACCAGTCGTACTTTAACGACCGTATTTTCAAACGTAAAATTACGAGAAAAGTACTAAACGTTTCGAAAGATTGTTAATGACCTTATTTTAAAAAGCTATCTTAAGGAAAATAGATTTCATAAGGAAAAAATATCTCTAATATTTTCGTTGTAGAAGACTCCTAAACAATTTTGTACTTTTGGCATTTTCAAACATTTCGGGTTTTCAAAACGACAATGTATACTGCAAATCATTCTCTTAAACGGACCTTCACAAGATCTACTAACAAAAAATTAAAAAAAAATGTTTGTAACCATTTTTTTAATAAACTAATTTTGAAAAAATCAATAAAATTATTTCAAAAATGTCAGCAAGGAGCTTCACTTAAGGTACCCCCAAAAAATAAAATAACGGTTTTCAACTTCAGAGGCCGCGGCATCAGCCAGATCGATTGGAGACCATCAAATTTTTGGACCAAAATCTGCTGTTCGGTTTAGCAGATAGCGTTGTTTCGCAGACGGAACAGACAGATGTTTTGCCGTCATTTGATTTTTCGGTTATCAAAAGGATCTACAAACATGGATTCTGGTAACATCACGTGTTAGAGGATTTTCTTCTAAATTTAGCAACTGTATTTATCCATATTTTCGTTGCCTGGGCCCCGTTATAAGAAGTTCTTCTGCTGAAAATTTGCCAGATTATTTGCGCAGCTATTAACACAACCTTCTTCCTCAAAACTGCAAACTCTCTTACTAAAAATATTTTCGGCTAATCATTTAAACGAATAAAATCGTATCGCAGCATGAGCTGACCTATCAGCCTACGTCAATTTCCACATAATCTGTCATGTGACATACTTCTACCAAAAGTTAAAATAAAAACCCTCTTAATTCGCCGATCACCAACTACTTACAGTTGAAGTATTTATATAGTATCCGCCTAAGTTGGGGGAGGGGAAATAGATGAGGGGGCGGAATTTTTTCATGACCTAAAAACATCGTTAAAACGATCAATAAAATACTGTTTTTTAAAATCCTCTAAAAGGAAAGAAAGTGACGTAAAATTTTGTATAAAACAAATTCAGATGCCCTTAACTCAAGCTGTTGATATTGTAGGTCGTGCCACCCGCTCAAAACACGACAACCATGTGGAAATCGGCGAAGCATCGGCCGGATGTTTAAACAAAAGAGCGGAGTGATGCCGCAGCTGGGACTTTCCGTGGACGTACGCGGCCCCAGAGCGGCTTTGGGGAGGAGGCAATAGGGGGGCGGGTGGTGCAAAAGGGACTACATAAGGCCAGGAAACAATGCCGCCAGTCTTCTTGTTCTAGCATCGTCGGCCGACAGGTGAAGCGCGCGTCCTGTGCGTGTAGGTGCCAAGGGCGAGGGGCCACGGAACATCGGTGGTATGTTGCGGTGTGGTACCCCGTTCTTAAATTATCTCTGCTTGCAGTGGGTCTATTTATTTAGTTTGTTGTGAGCAGGGTAGTTGTTAAATTGAGACTACGGTCTTAGAATGTTAATAAATAAATGTTTTTTAAAAAACCACTCTAGTCTGTGTTCGATACACCCGTATCGACGCCAGCAATATGTTTACTGATGTAATCGCAGTGGCGGATCGGGGGGGGGGGGCATGCAGCACCCAAAAGGCCTAAAGAATAAAACGTTGTAAAGTGCTGAAAAATAAAATGAGAAAAACAAAAGATGTAGAACGTCTAAATGTTTCGAGAAAATAACCGCGCATCCTCTACTTTGCCTTTAGTTTAGCGACAATGGGAATTTTGATTCCCGCTATATTTTAGCCAGTGGTGCGTAATGGAAATGTCTTCGACTATTCTGCGTGGCATTTTTTACAGATGTTTCTTTTCCGCAGCGTGAAGTACACAGCCTGGCAGTAAATCGTTTGGATGAACGCCGTCGGCAATTTGTGAAAACAGCGACATTATGTTCGTTCGCAGCGTACAATGGGCAGTGTTCCAATTGGGGTGCTGCCATACATCCCCCTTGAAATTGCTTTTTCAATGTTTCTTGTCAGGCAACTTCAAGTTTCTTTGACAGCCGATTTTTTCCTTTCCCCTTCCCGGGGGTAAAAGAAAAAGGGTTTCCCCCCCCCTGGTTTTTTTCCACCTTAATCCACAATGACATGCAAGTTGTTGTAGAAAGTGCTACAGAAAGATGTGCAACAAATTTGTTCAAAAGTAGAATATAATTTTTTTATGTAAATTTTCGATTTATTATTTATTTCGAATTATCGCCTTTTATAAAATCACGGATTACAAAATTTTTTCCTATTTCTAATTTCTTTTTCAATTTTTTAATTCTAATCCCCCCCCACCCACACACCACACACCAGTTCATTTTCTTGTGGGGCTCGGGGCGTTCCGCGAAGCACAGTGCGACCTCGGATCGTCTATCATCCTCTCACTTCAATTAAAGAAGGATTAATAATTCCCTGCGTGAGCAGGAGTCCCTTGCCCTAATAGGATGTGCAGTTTTTGTCTAATTAAAAAAAAATATTCTTAAGACAATAATTTCAGTTCTGCGTTAGGCAACCTACCTTTTTTAACGCACTTTGGGAGGCGATAATATGGCAAAAAGATGAGGCATAAACCGACAAGCTCGCCCTGACGCAAAGGACATTAGAAAATCACCCTCTGACCAAACATGTGCCATTCTGCGTCACCACTAGTTTTGATTATCCGTTTTTTCTTTTTATTCCAGTCCAAGTAATGGAGGCGGCCGCTCCGGGTCTCCCGCAACATTCTGTTAAAATGCAAAGGCATCCATAAAAGAAATGACCAGCGAAGGCAGGGGCAAAAAGTTAGAAATGATGGTTAAACTCTACGTATTTTCACTCGTTCTCAGTATGCGAGGAGTTGTTCACGAGACGGCAGCTCAAGAAATCCCAATATTTTTGAGAAGCGAGTACGCCTCTAAGAAAGAAGGTGACTCGATACGCTGCTGCAATTCTGTTAAAAGTTATACTGATAGAAATGTTTCTTTCTTGGTGCGCCATTTTTAAGAGGTCTGGCGCTCCTCAGATATCAAATTTTGAAAAGGCTCCGCAATAGCTCCTCATAACAAACTTTTTTTTTTTAATTTTCGTAAATATGTTTAAATCCTGATACAAATGATGAATATGATGGTATAGATTTCATGTTTTTAACTAGCGTTAACTAATTTTTCGCTTCGGCAAAATCGGTAATGTTCAACTTCTTTGCTTGACATGTTTTCTTTCATTCACGCCAGTTAATGTCACTACAAAAGAAAAGCAACACATGGGGAGCACAAGGCTTATCTTGGTCCCCTTAGATGGCAACTCAACATACAGTATTGTTGTGAAGCTCCAGGAGCCTCTATTTGCTTCGGCATGTACTGTTACAAAAAAAAAAAAAAAAAGAGAGAGAGAGAGAGAGAGAGAACGAAAAAAGAAGAAAACAAACATATATATCATGATAACAGATAGCTTTGAAATTTAAGAAAAGTAAAAAGTAAGCTTGCAAGGTTAGAAGAACTGAGAAAACAGAATGATAATGATCTGGCAAAGAGAAACATTAACATAAGTCACAAGAAAATATTGCTTTTGATGAACTTGTCAATATGTTATTAACAAATAAATCTGCTAAAAGCATCCATCAGTTTTCTGATATGAAAATTAATACATATAAATTTATTTCTTTGTAGATATTAAATCAATTTTGAAACTTTTTTGAAATTATTTATAAAATGAATAGAAATTTGTTAAAACCATTCTGAAAATATTCTTTGGAAGTAGAATTACTTCAGCTTTCATCAAAGGTAAGTTTCTTTAGTAAAGGAAAGTGGCCAGTAGTAAATGCCTTTTGAAATGCAAAACTTTGATTAAGACTTTATTTACTCTGAAACAATTTAACTACTATATACAATTACAGTTGTCAAATTTTCCAAACAGAGAATTCCACTCTAATGATATGCTATACAACTTGATTGAAACAATAGAACAATCGAAAGTGAGCTTCAATTAAGATTCAAATTCAAAGACACACAGAGGTGCATTAAATAATGACTTGCATAAAAAGCATTCCTCTCAAGAAATCAAAGTTTAAAATGCGGATGTGACTAGAAATTTTAAAAAATGTTAAAATCTCAAATCATATTCTCAAAGTTAAATTTTATTTTATTTTATTTCATTAGACAATCTTTCAGTGAATAATACCATAAAAATGTAAAGACAATACTCCAATTCAATTGAGATGCATTTTCTGTTGCAAATGATCAATTTTTGCAATACAATCTTGAATTCTTGCTTTGTAATGTTTTTGACACAATTATTTCAGGATCGAAACAATAAATACAGCCAAAAAAACAGAGTCACAGCACATTATTTTAGAAAACTTATATCTACAAGAAACATTAGAAATTATATCAAACCTTCATTAAAAAGATGGAGTCCTTTGGAAGTCCAATGCAATACAAATCTTATTGCCTTAGATAAGAAATTATATATATACACATATACACAGTAGTTACATATCTCAAACTCACAATAATCAGAAGAAAAAGAAGGAAAGATGTAAAATAATTTTGTTCAATATTGCACATCATTATTATTGATAAAAAAATTATACCACGACAATATTATACAAAGTGAACTCGGTCATGAAAGCCAAATTAATTATTCAAATCTTTAGATTTGGCAATACACAATATCAAGAGAAATAATTTCAAACACAAGTAACACACTCATCAGCAGTGTTGAACACAATTTAAAAACAAATAGAAAATCAGGATATGAAATACTACAGCACACTATTATATACATAATTTAATACAATCTCCAATAACTTATGAATATCAGCATAAAATGTATGAACCTATTCACATGGTTTGCACTCAAAATGCATACATTCATTTAAACATTTGGAAACACAATTTAAGGAAATTCATTTTCCTTGTATTTTTTCTTTACCACTGACAGTTGGCAAATCTACAACAGACTGTAGATAAAATGCCACAGAATCAGTTGATGCAATTGCAAATAATAAAGGTACATCATCTTCAAAACCTTCACCAAGGAAGGCCAGCTGACGAGATGTGGGAAGATTCTGATCAGGCCTAAACATGGAAGGAACAAAATTGTAGTAAATACACAAATATGCTCCATGTACACACACACTAGGGTGTCCCAAAATAATAAAAGTATTTTTTTTTAATGCATACCCCCTTAATTTTTTGTTTGATAACAAAACTATTGTAAATGAAATTTTACGTATGTAGGACCACATCAACCCTTGCCAACTTGAATCAGAACTTGCAGACTCAGCTGAAAATGGGCTGGCGTGTTGACGTGCTCTTAATTTCTTGTTTGTTTTTTTTTTAGTAAACGCATCATTTTCAATTAGTCAATATGTTGGTGGAATTTCACAGTTCTAAAAAGCATATATTTTTTAATACGAGATGTGAAACATCAATTAATGGGTTCAACACTTCGCTCAAAAAACTGACTGAAAGAGGGAAGGGCATGCCTTGGAACCATTGAGGGGGGAAAAATCAGCATGCCAAATATTTCTCCCTGCCATCTTATGAACCGTTAAAAACTATTAATTTTCTGATTCTAGTGAAAATACGAATTTAAAAGCATATTTGTCAACACTGATTGAGAATACACAACCTGGACAAATACAAACAAAAAGATTTCAATACTACAAAATTAGAGGCAGTAATAGGTGTCAGCTAAGTACGAGAAATTCTGTGTATATTCTTGAAGTTACCATTGAGGCACTTTAGAAGATGAATTTTCAATATTCAAGAACTAAATGTAAAGAACATGTGGAAGACAAAAAGTTGATTTTCAAACTGAGGTACTAGATGTGATTGGGCACAGGGAAGGAAAACTGATGCCTGCTTTAGATGCTCGGAAATCAAAAGAACATCTTCTGATTGTTATTTCATATGGAAATAAAGAACAATTTTTGCTGTACCAAGGTTGGAAAGATTTTCAGGAAGCAAACATGCGCAAGATGTTTGAAACGCGATTATAGACTGGAATTCTGAAGAAGTGCAAATTCTATGTTGTTACACTACAGCTTTAAAAACTGGTACTATCGATGGTGCTTGCGTGCTTCTAAAACAAAAACTTAATAGAAAAATGTTAAATTTTGTTTGTCCCCAGCATGTGTATGAATTGGTGGTAAAAAGTGTGTGTGAAGTGAAAATCTGACAAGTGACTAAAAGCCCTGAAATCCACTCTTCAAAAACTTCCGAGATAACTGGAAAAGTGTCAATCCTGATAAAATACAGAAATACAGTGCTCTAGAGCAAAGCTTATAGTTGTGCCAGGCTGTTTTCAAAATTGACAATATGTTGCATTTTATCAAACTCAACTAACCAAAGAAATAGAGATGACTTTCGAAAGTTGACAGAGCTTTATGTTATATTTCTAGGCCGAGACATAGAGAGAATTTAAAATTCAACTTCCATGTGCCATGCAACATCGTCGATGGATGGTGGGACGGATTTATTCCCTGAAAATGTCCTGGTTTAGTACCCAATTGAAAATTATGAGCAAGGATAAGGCAGCACTGTTAGATGTCTGTCTTTTCGTCATGACATCCCATATCAAGCCACGGATCCAATGCATTTTAGTAGCAAAAACATCTAACAAAGATGTGTGATTTTTGAAGTCAATGAAGTTTTATGAAAAGATTGATAAAAGCATCTCGAAAGCAGCTTTACTGAAGTAAATACATTTATGGTATTTGACTGATGAAGTATCTGTCTTGCCACTATTTGACAATGATGAAGACCAAGAAACCAAAATAAAAATGATTGAAAATTTAAACAACAATGTAAATGTATCAACTTATGATAAATTTTACATCTCAAGGCAGGAAGAACTACTTGGTCCATCCCTGATGAGATAGTAAGGGCAGTGAATGATTCACCTGAAAAAGCGGTCACATTCATACAAGACTTTCATGGTATAATTATAGTTAAAAAAGGAATAGAAGCAATATTTGTAACACTGCATACAAGATGACCTGAAGGTTTATCCTGGCTGTAAAAAGGAAAGTTTGAAAAGAAAATTTACAGAAAATTATTTATTTTCTAAATATTATTGTATGATTGGACATATTCGAAGTATTGTATGACTTAGATATATTCGTGCTTTATTTACTAAATAAACATTGGAGTTCTACATTCTTATTAACTCAGTAGAAATGTTCATGTCTTATGTTTGGCATCAAGTTGGCATGGGTTATCCTTATCCAATCACAATAATATTTATTATTTGAGTTTTGGGAGCCAAAAAGAAAAAAAAAATAGAGTATTATGGATATCTGATTTCACGAAAGAAAGAAAAAATCTCCCATACGCCTTGGGACACCTGCTAGTACATGCCTTTACAGTTAAGGGGAAGGTGGGGACCAGCATTTGACATAAGTGAACGCATGGGTCAAATGAAATAATTTTGTAACATTGCAAACACCAAATGACAAGGAAGACAGCAAATCAGTTATGGCAGATAAAACACATTCATTCACGGTCAAAGAAATAATACTCAATCTGATAAATTAGCAATTTTCAATTAACTTCTTAATTTCCTTAGTGCATGTATGAATTCTGAAAGCATGTTTGTTGATACATGTCTTACACATAAAATGTGTTAGTCAATGAAAAGCAAGGAAGAAATGAATAACTGTCAACCAGAGAAAGAAAACAAAATTTCTGATAGTTTAGAAATACTAATGAGAATGTTAATTAATTTCAGTAAACCGTATAACTTTTATTCTATGGAAAGAGAACAAGAACTAAGAAGTATTTAATTTGAATTATAACGACTACATACTGGATGTTTAGGAAAAAGTCTATTTTATTTCAATGAACACATTTAAAAGCTAGTCTATAAGCACTAATTATAGAAAATGCTCATTCATTTTGACAAAGGTTTACTTTGTCTTTTTTGCCTATTTTCACATAAATATCTATTTAGGGAATATTTTACTTTATAAATTTTCAACTTAAAAAAAATATTTTTAAATAAATATTTAAATTATTTTTCATTTTGTAACTCACAATAGTGTAATTAATCAGAGATTAAACCTTAACTTTTTAATTATACTGAAGATGTCGTTTGAATTTGTGACAATCTTTATCTTTGGAGTCTGAAAGCTCATTTTGCTTGCACTTCTTTGCTCAAATAAAAACCTCGAGCACTAGGTCTAGGGAATATGCTACGCTCGGGTTTGCCAGATTTGCTGTTAATTCAAATAATCAAGAGTTGGGTTTCTTCGCATGCCAATTGTGGAAATAAAGAAAATTAGAACGCTTATTTTTGTCACCATCTATATTACTTATTTTCAAAGCATGCAAATTAACAAGTTAGCAAGCAAATAACTCAGCCTCTGGCCATGTGAGGTGTCTCTGGGTTTATTTAACTGAAAAACTCAAATATTAGATTGTGTTATTCCACCTGTTCTTACACTGTGTAACTCAACTGAATTCTCATACTCATTGTGTAACTGCTTCTCATACAGCTAGTATTATGCAAAATAGCAGCCAGCTATTAGTTCACATGGAACAGCATCTTTTCTGATATTCTTGTTATGTAAGGGAATGTTGTTGAGTGTATACAAACACACTATACTACATAATTGTAGTATTCAAGAAGACTGTTAAAATATGTTAAAATATTTAATTTTTTTGTAAAGTTATTATGGTATTTTATTTATTTTTTTTTAAATAAAATTTTAATTAAAAACCCATTTGTTTTGTTCTTTGGCATGAGTGCCACTTTGTAGAAAAGAATTTCTTCTTGTTTTGTTGAGTAGAATTTTTTCCAGCTGCAGTTCACTAGTTTTATTTATTTTGTCATTATTTTACAATTTTATGTATTTGTCTACTGCTCAACAATGTTATAAATTAATTAATATTTCCTCAGTTAATTTGTTTTAATTACTAATATTTTCCTATTTTTAGATGCAAATGCAATGAAAAATCTTAAGTGTTTCTTTCCCTCCAATCTTAGGTTTTATTACTTTTTCCTTGCTTATTTATGCTTGCTTATCATTGTTTTTTGTGTGCCTTTCAGGTGCCTAAAATGTAAGTTTTTAGTGTGTACAGTGAGTGATCCTACAGAACCGTTTCTGAGCCAGCAGTGCAGGAAGTAGCTACCGTCATACCCATCCACGTCCTTGCACAGGAAAGAAACTCGCCTACCAGACAAAGACACATCTGGGAAGCTGACAAACCATTAGACAAGCCCGAGCCCTCAGAAGAATGCTAGCAGATCAACAAGGAAAACAAAAGTCAAGGAAGATGGACAGTCAAGTTCAATTCTCAGATAGGAGAAAAAGTTAATAGTTGCTGGCACATAGCTTTCAACAGCATCATTGAGACAATGTTTGGCAGAGAAGAAAATTGGTGCTAGGAAAGAAAATCACTAGCAGACAAAGACACAATTCTGAGAAGAACATTGGGAACCACCAGGGCTTCTTCATACAATGAAACAGTACTCTGCACAAAGAAGTCAGAGGAAAACCCCAACTCACAGCTTCTGGCATGGAAAAAATGAAGCAGTAACATGAAATGTTAACACTCTCTGAAGATAAAAGACAAGCTGTCATTCTGAAGAAATGCAAAAGGGGTTCTGGGGTTTTGGAATGGATCTCTGTCTAAGAAAAAGGGCTCATGATTTTAAAGAGTGAAAGGAGCATGCCAATCAGAGAAGTTTCATAATAGTTTTTTTTTATTCTTTTTTATTTTTTTTAAGAAATCTAAAATTAGAAAATAATCATTTTTTGAAAAGTATTAGCTAAACTGAATTGTAAATTTCACCAAAAAGGCTTTGTTTTTAAAGATATTACAAAATAATGAAGTACAGGAAATTTTAGTGTCATCAGGGACAATACAGAAATTGATATTTTGTGGTATACTTAAACATTTAGGCAATGCAGTGTGAGCTGGTTCTGCAAAAGCTCAAAGAGTAATAGTCCCTTGGTCTCGAGTACTGGTTGGAAAATATTTTGGTCCCTCAACAACTACATTATTGTAGTGAGATTTTTTTTCTCTTCTTTCTTGATTTCACCCACATTACACGAAAACAACTCATATTTTGACAAATATGTATTTATTCACTTATCATAGCATTTTAGTTGTATAATGCATTTCGTTTTTTATGATTTTACAACAAATTCTACAACTACTGTTAGTGAATGTAATTTTCATTATGGGCGTATTAAAGAAGCTTAGGAAATTTTCTACCATATGGCTTCTGATGTACTGTATATTCTGATGTAACCACCTACTTGAGAGTTCAAAGAGGTATTTCTCTTATCAGAAGCAATCAGAATAGAAAGGAGCAAAATTGAATTCTATGCGAGAAAAAAGTACTTACTGCATGACAACCACTCGAAAATCAGGAACAGGTGGATTCGATCTTCGAAAATGGGTAGATGGTTGATACAAATCAAACTTAATACTTAAGAGAGGTTCACCAGTTTCTGCAGTAAGTCCCTTAAATTTCACAGAGCGAACAATCTCCAGAGATTTTAAACACGAATCTACAAAAAAAGCAACAATTATTCGCAAAATGACAACACCTAGTATAGTAAACTCTTTAAAAATGACCACTCACCAATATCCTCTAAATTATCTGATTTGAGAAGCACAGAAACTGAATCTACTGCTTCATTCCCATAGGGCCCATTTACAGATTCCTCAGATGATCCTTCAGAGGAGCAGCTGTCACTGCAACTGCTTCTTGAACTAGAGCTACTGGTACTCTCAGATTCTGCAAAGGCACTTGCATTTTGTCCTATCTCACGGAAATCACTCAAGTTACTATCACAACCGCTACTTGATACAACAGGCCCAGAATTTGCACTACCAGTAGCATCTGGATGAATTACATCCAAAAACTGCAAAAGATCACGTGAACTTCTAGTGGGCGGGAAGTAATTGCCTCTCATTCTTCTAGGTCTCTTTTCTCTTGAACAAGATGAATTAACATTTTCTTCATTGAATTTTCTATGTCTTTTTTCACCGAAGGTTCTTTGTTGAGTGGTCCTTGATTGCACATAGGAAGAATGTGTGTTTTCTGCATTAAAAGGGACATAGTTTCCTACAGCCTCATGAAATGGCTCATTATATTCTCTGTCTCTCGCAACAGAGTAACGAGCACCATGCATGTTTCTACCTCCTCTACCTCTTCTCCGGGGAAATCTGCGAACACCGGAGCTTCGAAAACGACAATTCTGGAATGGAGAATTTTGATTGTACATTTCACGGTTTGGATTGCCTCTAGACCTGAAGTGGCCTCTTGATTGTTGATGTGGAGCTAAATTACGCATGGGCTGCCCAGAAAAATGAGGATAAGAAATTTGATCTGGCAGCTCCCTGAGTCTTGAGTGGAAAGTTGGATACATTGGATGTTCACTAAATCCTGAATAATCAGCAAAACCCTCACCTCTTGACTGGTTCTGAGAATCATGCCAACTTTCACCTCTTTCTTCAGGAAATGGATTATTATAATTATTATTAAAATTATTATTATTGTATCTATTACACAGCCTGTTTGAATCAGTATTATACCTAAATATATTAGATTGGTTGGCACTTTCATGTCTTGCATACTGATGTTGATATCTTTCAGAAGCACTTCCTTTTTTTTTAGGACTACCTCCATATCTAGGATCTTGTAATCTTTCTAAGTCAATGTTGTATGTTTGCTGACTTGGACAGACATTAGGAGGACACAGACGCTGCGGTGGAACATTACAACGTATTATATGGCATCCTGCAACGTTTGGAAACGATAGTAGAATTGTGTTCCGATCTTCAAAAATGCCACTTTCACTATTCTCGTCATCTAAGTCAATTACTTCTATTTCTTTTTCTTTGTGATGGGATTTAAGAACAACTGTATCATCATTTTCCTTCTTATATGAAACAGCAGTATTTACCTGAATCACTGATTCACGCAGCAATGGAGTAGATACAGAACTGCAGCTTTCTTCTTTTACATCGCTGAGAACTGAAATACTCTCTGACATTTCATTGCAACTTTCATACTCCGACAATTGCTTTTCATTCCCAATAGTAGCTGCAGTGATATCATTTTCTTCAACAGTTCGTTCAACCAGTGGTTCTTCAGTTACACGCAGAGATTCCATTAACTCATTAGAATTAAATTGCCCTGCAACACAACTATCACTACAATCATTAGTTTCCAAAACAAAATTTTCAACTAGGCTAGAATTTCTGTTCACATCATCCTCACTATCACAACTCGCATTAGAAATAATGTGCGTATCCTGTATTTCATTCTCCTTCACTTTTGTAAAATCACATAATTCTAGTTCGCATTTGACTTCATTTTTAATACTGGGACCTTCCATATTACTACATGCTACGTTGCTACTCTCACTATCACTCAAATTAATTTCTTCTATCACTTTGTTTTCATTAGAAAATTTCTTCCTAACTGTATTCGACCCATTTATTTCTGTATTTATTTCCTCAATTACTTGACAATCAGAATCATCTTCTTCTTCTTCTTCTTCTGATGCTGATGATGAATATGCTGTAAAATCCGATATCTCTTCAGGTCTGCATGCATTTTTCTCACTTAATATTTCAATGTCACTTCCCACACTTGAATTATCAGTTGTTGCTCCAACAGAAGGCATACCACAAATCTTATCTGAAGACATTTCTTTTAATACACTCGGAAATAATTCCACACCTAGTTTTTCACACTGAATTTGTTTTTCATTTTTCGTTGGAATTCTTTGATCAGTTTTTAACTCCTTGTAATTGCTTTCACAACTACTTTCATGCTCACGTACAATGGATTTTCTTCTCGATTTTCTATTCCTTGGCTGTTCCACGTGTAAACCAATTAACCGTTCGTAACGAGTTATAGTTCTTTTTGCACTATGACGTAAAATTTTAAAGCCATTTTTCAACAGATGTGAAAATACCATGTATTCCAAAAAGTTGCAGCCGGTTTTTGCTCCTAATAGAATTGTATAAGCTTGCTGAATACTCATACTGACTCCTCCAAAAAGAAGTTGGAGATGATTCTGAAAGCAATAACAACAAATAAGACATTAAAATTATGTTATTTAAGAACTCATCAGTATTTATTATCCAGATACTTAACACTAATGCTCTACACCCAGAGTATCGTAATTAAATACATATTAAATAGACACACAGCTGTTTGACTAGAACGAAACAATTCCAAGATATTTCCAACACCAAATTTAATTCTAGCATATTTTAATTTAGAAGCATGAAAATCAACAATCCTTTTCAATCAAGGCATCAAACTGAAAACAAAATAGTTATTTTTGCATTAAATACATTGATAGCTTTATAATCGAATGAAAATGTTTCAATTTCAACTTTTAAACTATCTTCTTAATTTTGTGCAACTTGTTGCACTGGGTTCTTATTTCAAGAAGCAACTCATAGTGTAAAACAGATGTCTGAGATTTCAGGCAATTTTCAAGCACCTCTAAAAGAAAAGTGATATCTTTTGTTTTATTCGATGCCTCAGATAGTAAAGGAAGTATTTGTCTTAATCTCTTCAAAATGATGCAAGACAATTCCTATAAAAATTGAACAAATCTTAGTAATGCATTCAAGCAATATTAGTGCAAAGTAGGCAATAAATCAAAAAGAACAATTCGAGTTTTAGTCATTTTGGATGCATCCAACATTTTTCAATTGTTATTTTACAAAATCTGATGAAAAATTTCTGATGATGCTAGAAAATGTATTAGTTTCTCTGACAATTATGAGCCAGCTGCTTCATTTACTGTACAATAATGAATATAGGAACTTGTATTTTATTACATGTGTCTTAGTAATTAATTATAATGCCTGGAGTAACATAACATTTTTTTATATAATAAATATTTTGCTTTGTGAACAATGACCATATGGATCAAATTTAAGATTCTTTTTAAAATTTACATAGGCTGCGAAAACGATATGTTGGTATATATCAGATGCAAACACACCAGGAAACTTTGAGCACAAAACTTTACACAAAAATTGGATTAGGAATTTAGTAAAATAGTATCCCTCCTATGTAAAACTTTCCTTAATAATAAAAAAATAAAGTAATAAATATAAAATCAATAAAAAATAAAGAGACATGAGAGGAGAGAGAGAGAAGGGGACAGAGAGGAGAGAGAGAAGGGGAGAGAGGAGAGAGAGAAGGGGAGAGAGAGGAGAGGGAGAGAGAGGAGAGAGAAGGGGAGAGAGAAGGGGAGAGAGAAGGGGAGAGGGAGAGAGAGGAGAGAGGAGAGAGAAGGGGAGAGAGAAGGGGAGAGAGAGGAGAGGGAGAGAGAGGAGAGAGGAGAGAGAAGGGGAGAGAGAGAGAGAGAAGGGGAGAGAGGAGAGAGGGGGAGAGAAAGTGTATGCCTAGGACAGGGAGGGAGAGAGAGAGAGAGAGAGAGAGAAAGAGAGAAAGAGAGAAAGAGAGAGAGTGAGAGAGAGTGAGAGAGAGAGAGTGAGAGAGTGAATGAGTGAGTGAGTGAGTAAGTGAGTGTGTGTGTCTGTGTGCATGTGCATGTGCATGTGCATGTGTGTGTGTAGTGTAATGAGAGAATGTGCATGTAGTTTTTGGAGATAATTAATTAAAAAGCAAGTATTTCACCCTCTAATTAAAAATTCAATTTTGTCTGAGCGAATCATGTATCCAATCAATTCTTTTTGTCATTCCATCTTACAAACAGAGGTACTCTGGCAAAAAGTTTTCTTTTTAAAAATTAAATTGCCCAGCCATCACCAATGATGTGAAAAAATGTCTCAAGAAATATCATAAGATGCAAATTATTGAGAAGACATGTGATTGATATTAAGTATATCCTCTGGTAATTATACGAGGATATATAAAATATAATAAATACAAGGGTTGAAATTCCTGTATTATCTACAAAAACACTTTATTGCAAAGCACAAGACGTGTTGTATGATTAACATTTCTCTCCATTACTGCTTCAAATGTAAAGTAACTTCTTATACCGACCATTATCTTGAATAATCACACTCTCACATTCTCATTCACTATGCACTACAACACTTGAAATATTACAAAAGAAATTTCAATTAAAAAGATATTATCATTGCAAATATTTTTAGAAACTATGAAGAAAATCAAATAAATCGTTGAATATTATAAATAAGCAATATTACATTACATATTTTTAAATTCATACTTACAGTTTCAAGCAAATATAATGCTTCTTCTGGATATAAAAATATTGTCATATTTTCTTCATGGCCAAATTTTTCAAATTGTCGTCCCACAACACGAGTAACTCTGGCCACTTTCAAATCCTCATCCCATTCTGCTTGGGCTAAAGCATTTCTGAAATAAACATGGTTCCTCATATTTCTTATTTATTTATTATGAAGACGACTAAGGAGCTGGCAATGCTGTGATTATGATTTCACCTCGACCAGCACAATGAATCACATTTACAAATTCATACTATTCCACATTCTCATTTGATTCATATTTCAAGATTTTTAATGTCAACATCATGAAGAATATTTCATTTATTCTAATTAATTTCCACAGATTTCCACAATCTGGTTAAAGGATTGTTCAATGTAATTAGAACAATAGAACGGCATATAAAACAACAGAGATACCAGCCTGCTGGTTCTATTTGGAGTTTGAACACTTAGACTCATGTGAAAATTAGTTGAGGGTTAGATAAAGGTCTTAAAGTGTTCTGCAAAAACATCACAATAGCTTTAACATCTCGGTATGCATGTGATTTATAATTCATCAGACTTGAAATACCCTTACTACCCTTTTTCGAATTAAACTTTCTCGGATCAGAAAGTATGGAGGTCTAGTATTGAAACAGAATTCTTTAACATTCCTTCTTGATAATATTTTACAAGTTTATCTTAATCCTTCGCACACCATCCATCTTCATACACAGGTACCCCAATCTCACTATTTTATTTGTTGTGTATGTTTTGCTCATTCTGGGATACTGAATTTTCATTACATTGCCCACAAAACTTCCATTGACAATTACATCTTAAAGAAAGTAATAGTTTGAAGATGTTTTACATCTTCTACTTAGAAACAAGCACTGTGGTACATTTCTACCCTACTTGGTATTTTGTCATCAAATTTTGTTCTTTATTAATTATTAGAAACAGAGTCAGAAAGAGTAGAACAAAATGCATTAAGTGTTTGTCGTTTACATGTAATGGACATTCAGATAAAAAACAAAAAATTGACCAGTTGCCTAAAACATGAATAACTTTGAAAGAATTTTTTTGATGAAGTGTATTGGTGTAATAAAAGAGAAATATAGGAATAAAGTTACTTAATTCTATTAAATTTACCTTTGAATATATATTAACTGCTCAAAATAATAAAAATGTTCACATTTTTGTTAGTGATTTCATATTTCACAGAAATCTTGCATAATATTTGAGAGGGGTACACGTGTACTTCACTTGGTATTCAGTGTTATATTTAGAGTTTTGTATGCGGAGGGTTAATTGAGTACATTGCAATTAGTACTATCAAGCTTCAACTCTTTATGAGCCTTTATTTTAAGGAGAATCAAGTTTCAATATGATGGGAATTCCCATGAAATTACACATTTCATAGTTACTATAAATTCAATAATTAATATAAATAATTGTGAAATAATTGAACACAGCCAGAAAATAAAAGGCTATCTTTTTCTATATCAGTTGATATATTTTCTCAAAGCAATTCCCAATTTCAATAGAATTTGCCGATTTGAATTCGTATATCCAGTCATCATAATGAATAACTAGAGGAGATTCAGAACACATTATTTCAATGCAAAGTAGGATGAAAAATATCCTGTAATACAACCGAGGAAGTAAGCTTCTCTAAGTTAGTAAAAATTGATCTAATAACGAATTATATTGATTCAGATCTTAATTTACTCGATGGTAGGTTCAAAAATCCAATTATATTATCGAACTATTGGGGTAAACAATAGTTTTATCATTAAATATCTAGTAACAAGACAGTTTAATCTCCTAACAGCCGCCAACTTACATCTGGGAAGTAAAGAATTAATCTAAATGAAGTCACTACGATGAAAAAATATTATTTGTTTGTGGTGAAAAGTATACTGCACTTACAATTAAATATATACTCTGATCTAGGATAAAAATAAACATCTGTTCATCATCAGAAGATTCCAACTTTAAACTTTGGTATCCTTTTTCATTGCTATTAATATTCATCAACCTCTGTAAATTTACTGTTACTTGGGTTTCTGTCATTTCTAAAAACATTTAAGTCAACTAAATTTAATTCAGAATCCAAAATATCAGGATGGAACTAAATTTCAGTAAACACAACAATATTGTGTTCAATAACAGTATAATTAAACTTTTCAATTCCTTTTAACTCAAAACTTAGTTTTTAAACCTCTGTAACATGATAATATACCATTATTCCCATACATGAACAGACTTTTTTTTCTTCTTTTTTCACATTACTATTATTATTACCCTTCTTGCTAACATGTTTGGGATTAGCTTTGGTAGTCCTATTAACATATTTCAACATTTTAAATATTTTATCTTTGCTGATTTACAATACTCAGCAACAAATTTAGAATGCAGGTAGACAATCTTGCAGAAATGTGCAGGAAAAGTAGAGACTACCACAAACTTTTGCAAAGTCATTACCAGGATGCATTCTGTGACAATGTCAATACCCAGGATTACTGAGCATCAGCCATTCAAGACCGAGTGTGCAAGCTAGAGTGTGTGAGGTTTCTTTTGCTAAATATACATTATGAACATCAATAAAAACGTTAACTAATAGTCTCCTGCATGTGTAATGTTTATATAAATAAGAAGAAAGAAAGATATTAAGCACAAGACTGTTGATAGACTAAATATTTGTTATTCTGATAAGTTTATGTTTTTATATTCAATTGTATTTGTACTCATTATTAATTAAAGGATGAATCATACAAATGACAGAATTTGACACACAAAGCACTTTCTACTTACTCCCGTTCTACTCGTTCTTCAGCTATTAACGCTTTAGTTGCATCCAACAAAGTCTGTAACTGCTTGGTTTCAAGCCAGGAACCATTAGGGGTGAAGCACTTGGGGCCTTTTGTAGGAATAATAAAATCTAGTTTCGTCCGCCGCCGAACAAGTTCTTCTGCACTAAAACGTAAAAATTGTTCAAAATTGAAGGCCTTCATAATATTAAACTGGAATTCAAAATGGACTATTAACATAACCTATACAAACTCACGTCAGCATAATTCCATGAAATTCCCACATAGCAGAGGACATCCAGAAGACCACAGAAGACTAAGAGTCTTGCACTTTTTACCAAACTATTATATTTCTTTATATCAGAATATACAGTACAATAATAAATTGAAAACTATAGAGCATTCGTGTCATTTTATTAACTTCTGTATTAGTTTTCACACATGCTTCAGTGATATACAGCAGAAGATCACAATGTTTATTTTTGGTGGAAATTTAATTTCATTTTAAAACTATACACAAGATTTCCACCCGAATTGAACGTATCACGCGCAGCGCATTTACTTTAAATATTTACATTCTCTTGGAAAATGCACACAAAACTTTCTTCGCGAGCACAGTACACCAATGTATAATCTCGATATCTCTCAGTATCGACCCACGATGTAAGAGATTCCAGACATATATCTTCTTTGCCACATAGCAATTTTAAACAATAGAGGCGGAATATTTTGAAACTCTGGCGTATCGTGCAATTTTCAACTCGTGATAAAAATTAAGAACACTTGTGCTAATATCTACTTACAGTCATTAGTATTAATATCTTATAATAATAAGGGTTTAATTCCAAACAATGAATATTAAATAACTTTGTTTTTAGTATTTTACGTAAATTATTATTTACACGCAGACATACGATTAGAAAAAACAAATTTAATTACTGAAATCAAATAAGATTTTATGCCGTTAACCAATACTAAAATTATTTATATAATCCCTGAAATGCCAGTAGCGACCATATCTATGAATAGATACCTCATGGTCAAGTCTATTTCCACACATTGTCACAAGCAAACTTTGGATGTGGAACCATGGAATTGGAACTACTTAACCATTACGCGGAAGGTATGTTATACGAAATTACATCTTGCATAATGAAGGTAAAATAAAATTATCCAACTGCATTGCAACAAACATACATTTATAACTTTTACTCTAGGAAACTGGAAAAATGTTTTGGAAATGCTCACTGGCAAGTATAACACAAAATTTTATAATCAACTGTATCTCTGGATACAGCCAACCGAAGAGGACATTCAGTTCATTGGACAGCAAGTACATAAACAAGGAGCACTAGTACTGGCAAGTGTAGGTTGTGGAACTGGTTTGTTTGAATGGCTCATTCAGTGTATAACAGGTATAGCAGCAAATGTATATTTCAGTAATTTGGTAGAAGTAATTTCTCATATCTTTTCACTATTGCAGGTCTATGCGTAATTGGTATTGAACACGACAGAAAATGGTGGGAATCTCGATATGCTCCACCAAAATTCTTACCACTTATGTATGCTAATGAAATCAGTGATGGAACATTTCCATCATATTCTGCAATCATGTTTTGTTATTTCAATAATAAAACAGCTTTTCGTGAATACATGAAACTATTTAAAGGCAATTGCCTTATTATAATTGGCCCTGAAGATGGAAGTGGCAGGCACACTGATCCACTTCCCTTTGATCCAGAGGTCCAAACTTTAGGGTGGAGACTTGTATCTTCCCGTGAAATTCAGAACTCAAAAGATCATATAGTAGTATATGAACGCTGTTAAAAGAAATGATATAGAGCAAAAATTATGTCAGAAAAGAAATGATTTTATATGAAATAAGATTTTAAATGAATAATGTAATAAACTGACCTATACATGCAAGTACTAGTGTTTATCTGCTTTAGAAATAATGGAGGCAACAAAGATTATTTTTCAAGGAATTTGCAAACTTTTTATTGTTGATCCTAAATCTTCCTACGAAACAAATAATCAATAGTAAACTCATCTTGGAAGCTTCCTCAACAGGTCGGGTCTTACCTATCATCCATGACAAAAAGATTTGCAAACAAATGGGACATTTTTGAGAGTTATCTACCCTAAATACTGTTACAGATTATAATCCCATTATTTATATATTTTAGGTATGAAAGGACAAATATTTATCTATTAATTGTATAGACACTATTTAAAATGATGGTCTCTTTGACAAATATAAGTTTTTGATCTTACTGGTGATGCATCATATGAATTGTGCACAATCTAGATAAGAAACTTGCCTACATAGCTATTCACTTTTGAACCCTGTATTGTGATGACTCTTTTTACAGATCATTTCCTACAGCAATGCCAACAACAACTTTTAATCCAGTAAATTTACATCTGGTCAACCAGATGGCTCATCCGCAACAGAATGGAGCATTTGCTTACAATCAATCTTGAATGATGATGTTCTTATGCATTAGAGCAGAGTTCGGTTGGAGCTTTGTGCGTTGTATAGAATTAGAATTTCCAAAAAGATTCTGCTTCAAATCTACTTCCAAAATCATTGAACAAGAAACAAACAAGTGATGCTACAGAGTGGCACAGACATTATTGTACTAACTAGTTTTCTAATTTCATTGGTCTGGTTGTGGAGAAGTTTTTTGGTTTTGCCTCACCCTCTTCCCAGCTGCCTTCTATTGCTGCTTAAAGGACATTTTTTCTCATTTCCTTAATTTTTTGGTTATCTATTGGTAGAACTGAAATATAACTTAAAAATATTACAGAAGTGTAAAACCTGCTCCCATATGAAAATTTTCATTGAAAAATATGAAGCCTTTTTGAGAAAATGTCATTTGAGCATTTCTCCAAAAGTTTAACTTTGACTTCATCTTCACAGAAAACTTTTGAGTTTTCAAGAAATTTATTAGAAATCATTTGAAGCACTTCTGTACCACAAACACAAGTATGAAAAACAAAATCGGAGTCATTTTTGAGAAAATCTTGTTTTTTATATTACCTAATTTCGTTCTAAATTATTAAAAACTACAACAATTTCCAAGAACATTTCATTAATTAAAGAACTGGGTAAACATAATTTTATTTGAAGAAAAAATATCTATATTCAGTATTGTAGTTGTAGGAAGTCATAAAAAAATATTCAAAAATTCAGAGGTAACAGAGAAAATTAAATCTATGCCATCTCTATTCTTTCAAGATTTGTTTTGAGCGCTTTTAAGGAAATTTTGAAATTATAAAAAGGGCTTCCCTCAAAATTGAAAGAATTCTTTTAAAAAACCCGCGGTTTTGATTTAGGCCAGTTCGACCACTGAATATTCCTTTTCGAAAAAAAAAAAATGAATAGTTTAGGGTTTTTTTTTTTTTTTTTTTTTTTTTTTTTAGAAAGAGGTTTCAAATGGAGGGTGCCAGGCTTTGACTTTTGCAGCGAAGATACCGTATGCGTGCGCATGCCAGCGAAAGGCCGCTGTCAAGTAGCACGCCCAAATATCTCTCTGCGCTCCGCCAAGGTAGATGCGGGTGCCAGCCAAAGCTTCACCGTGTTCATTGAGGTGCTTTCGGTGAACTTGGTCTTCAGCTCTCAGCTTTTATA